CCCCCCCCCCCTGCCCCCCGAGATATACTTCGCTCGTACTTGTCAACGAATTGCAGCAAAGGAGGGAAACACTGAACGCTTCCGAGTTCGAAAGCAAAACAGAAAATAGCCCATTCTTGTGTTTGGACAACAAACGAGGCATAGTCCGGAAAAAATCAAATCGAACCTCTCCCCCCTTTCTCAAGCAACACCATCGCCATGGGAGACGAAAACTAAACTCCCCCCGCCATTACTGGGCTTTCCGTCGGTGACCCGAGCCAGAAGACAAACGAAACAGCGCACGACAAACGTCTGAGAAGAAAAAGCAACTTTACATACATCCAACCCTATCACCCAAAACACCAAGAAAAAAACGCAACGCGCAACCGTCAACGAGTTGTGCTACTACCGTTCCTCCCCGTTCTGTCAAATGCAAAGCTTCAGTCTAAGCACCCCCTAACCCTGCGCGTACCGTTAAATGATACTGTGGCACAATAACTCTCTCTCTCTCTCTCTCTCTCTCTCTCTCTCTCTACTTGTGTGCATCAAACTGCTGATTGTAGGCACGGTCCGCCAGCCACCTCGTGCCCATGTTCTGCAGGTCTTCATCGTCCCACGAGCTCGCCGACGCGGAACCCGTGCCTCCCATCCCGCGGGAGTCGCCGCTTCTCTGCGACCCCCCAGAAGCCCTGAAAAACGACGAACCGCCGTCTGACCTCATGGAGCTCGCCGCCGACCTTCCGGTCAGCGGCCCCCCCGCCCCGACCCGCGCTCTCCCGCCGGCCCCCGCCGGAGCCGCCGTGGGCGACCCCAGGCCGACCCTCGACGTGAACGTCGTCGCGGAGGCGGGGGAGGAGGTGTCGAACCTGGAAGCGGCCGCCGAGTTCGGCGAAGACGGGTGCTGTATCGCCAGGGCGTCGAGGCAGGTCGGTGGGCCACCGCCACCGCCGCCGGCGGTACCGGCGGTGAGGCCTACGCGCCCGGCGAGGCTCACGCCGCTCTCTCGCGACGCCGCGAAGCTGTTGTCGTACCGCGAAGCGGCGTCGGAGAAGCCTGCCTCAGATCTTCCGGCCACGGAGAAGGCCCCGGGGGAGCGGGCCCCGTCCTCCCCGCCGAGGCCCATGCGGGGGGGCGTCATGCCGGACAGGTCTTGCGAGATCCCCATGTCTTTCCTCGCCGCGCCCACGGGCACGACGCCGGACCCCGAGCCGGCAGCGGTGCCCGCGCTAACCCCGGTGAGGCCGGAGCTGGCGCTTTGCCCGTGGAACTGCGGGCCGAACCGGTTGTCGACCGGCGAAGAGAGGAACCGGGACGCCGCGATAGAGACTTGCGACATGGCGGACTCGTTCGTCGGAGAGGCGAAGGTTTGAGCCATGTTCGGGGATCGCTGTAAGAGGGGGCCGGCGGGGGGGGNGGGGGGGGGGGGGGGGGGGGGGGGGGGGGGGGGGGGGGGGGGTAGGGGTAGATGTTACTGACTGTCTTTGTTGGCATGTTTGAGTTGTATAGAGCAACGCCACCACATCAGTCCGATCGCGGTCCGATACCGCTATGTACAGGCCGGTCGACGAGCTCGCACCATCGTGGCAGCGGTCCGCACACCCACCTCCAAAGCGATCCCCGCATTCAGACAAAAACACCAACAACAGACTCTCGCCTACAACACCAGCAACGATCCCCGCATTCAGACAACACCAACAACGGACTCTCGCCTGCAACACCAGCAACAAGAAACGAACAGACTCGGCTCCAACACGAACATACCGTATATGACACAAGATAACGCACCCCCTGAACCACTTGTCAAAGCACGATTACTCCACGACGAAGAGGATGCATCAACGAAACGATACATTTTTGGAAAGCTCTCGACGAGACGATTCCAACGCCGCCGTTTTCGGCGCAGCGACTCTTTCTGTTGTTGAGAAATCGAGATTTGAAAATCGGTCCAGGGGGTATGTTATCTTGTGTCATTACGGCGATAACAACACCGACTCCTGTGCAACACCAACGACAAGACAGACTCACTTCCAACACAGCAACACCAACGACAGACTCGCCTCTATAACACCAACGACGATCAAGAAACAGACTCATCTCCAACACCAACAACAAGAAAAAGCGACAAAGACTCACCGCTTGGTCGCCGCCGCCCACCGACGACGGCGCGTACACCCTGGTCACCACGCTTGAAGCCTGCGACCCCGCGGGGGACAGCCCGCGGGACAGCTCACTGCGCACCGATGTCCCCTTCACGGGGACCCGTACAGCATAGTCCCCGGCGTCAATGGTAAGCTTGGGCGGGACATTATCACCACCGCCGCCGCCGCCGCCAGCGGCGGAAGAACTCTTCTCCGACGATGACCCCCTCGGTCTCTGCTGCGAGACCGTACGGAGCGAGCTCCTGTCGCCACCCCCTGCCTTGAACATCGAGTCCGCGGATGCGGCGGAACTAGTGCTGGTTCCGCCGGCGGTCCCGCCGCTTTTTTTGTCCTTTCGGCCGTGGACCGTGGTGATCACCACCGGGGAAGGCTTTGATCCCGTGCTGCTGGCGCTCTCCACGGAGCGGCTGCGCCTGTGCCCGCGGCCCTTGCGGCTACGGCTGGAGGACTTGGGCAGGATCTGCTGGTGGCCTCGCGAAGGCATCCAAGAGCTCGTCTTCTGCGTGTTTTTGTTTTTCGTGTCCCCAAGAGACAACAGAGGCGGTCGTAGTGAAGACATCAAGGCCCCAGGCAAATCCCAAAGGGGGGGGGGGTTACGAGAGAAGGCAGAGAGGAACGGGAGTGGACGGGGACGGCAAGGGCGTCTCAGCGAATGAATTACTGACATTTTTTGGAACTTACTCATTCAAGGTCGAGCGAGCTGGAACAAGGTGTGAAAAAGGACGGCAAGATCAGGTATCCGGCACTCCGAGAATTCCTCGACGTGCACAGCGTTCTTTCCGAGATATCGAACCCTTGTTGTGCTCGTAAGAGACCAGCTCAAGCAAGCGGGGCTGACTGTATCGCCTGCTCTTCAAGCTTGGTCAACCTCCACCCACGGCAATCAACTATCAAACAATCGTGTCCTTAATCTTCCTGGTAAATTCCGTTTAGTAGGTTGCACAAGATACCACACCCCTTGGACCGATTGTATTTTCAAAGTTCAACTACTCCACGCCCAAGATAATGCCGCAATCAAACGATGACACGTTTTCGGAAAGCTCTCGATAAGAGATACGGTTCCAACGCCGCCATTTTCCGGCACCGTAGTTTCTTTTCCTTCCGAGTGATCGAGCTTTGAACCATCGAACCAGGCGTGAGCACGGTACCTCACGCAACCTGAGGTACAAGTAGCCGTGCTCTCCACCTACTTGTACATGTGTTGTAAGTAAACCATAATCGACTTCGTAAGTCGCGAGGGAAGGGATTGCTGTACCCTTCTCGCGATAAAGATACCTCAGACAGGAACCGCAGGAGGGGGTCCAGCCCCCCCCTCCTATGTGACCCCGGTTGGGTCGTCTAGCTAGTAGAAGTGGAGGATAGGGGCCAGAGGGGCAGACGACAGAGTCCAATGATGGGAGAAAAAAAAAATGTGTGTTCGCTCAGCCAAGCCCGTGATCACTAGGCCATTCACACTTCCTAGCTTCCTAGGAAAGCAAACAACACATGCAAATAAAACCTTCAAGAAAAAAAAGAAAACATGCAGAAAAAAAATGTATGGTTCGGTATGGTTCGGGGATCAAGTAGGACAGAATAACGGGTTCATTCATTCCATTTGATAATAGTTGAATGTATGCACCTTTATTAACAAAAAAGAAACACGGGTGTTCCATCCCATGTTCTGCAACCCGACTACAGTTGAATGGATGCATCTTCGTTAAGAAAAAAAAAAACGGGTGTTCCACCTCATCTACCGCAACCTAACCACAGTTGATTTATGGTATACATTTGCAAGAAAAAAACAGGGAAGGTGTCCCATCCACCCTACCACCTACACACTGACTGCAACACCATTGGTACACCTTTTCCTCCACAGCAGGCTCCACTCGCTCCACCACCCCGTGGTCGTCATGCCTGATCACCAACCCACTGGGCTCCAGGTCGAGCTCAACCAGCGCTCTTCGGGCCTCAAGCTTCTCCACCAAGAACGCGTCCAGAGCTTCCGGCGTGAGCAGGTTAACCCACTCCAGGGAGCTGAGGGGTT